CACGGAGCCGGACGTACACTCAAAATCCTCAAACAAAGCCTGCAAGCCTCGGCACTGTAGACCCAAAGGCACAGCATAGACCCACCATGCTGAAACTCTTGCACAACTGAACGAGGTTCAGGGTTAGGTGGTAAGCGTGTATGCGGCTCAGGGTAAGTTCAGGGTTCGGGGTTAAGCCTATATGGGCTCAGGGTAACCCTGAGCCCCATACACGCTGAACGCCTACACCCCGCTCACGTTAAATCCCGTTGAAACCGTAAACTCTCATACCCTAAATGCCCGCTGAGGGAACAACCAAACTGAGGGCTGCTGGCACTTGACTTATCCCTCAGTTCATCCCTACAGAGCACTCCCAAAACAAGCATGCCGTGAAATGATCCTTCTCAAGCCCTTCCATAGATGCACGCATTTCTGCAGGATGGCCTGCTGACTTGTCGCCTGCTGCTTCCTTTCCGGCCAGCAAGGGGGCTTGAGGCAAGCCCGAACCCCTAAACCCTAAAACCCTGACCCACCCTCAAGCTTAAACACACCCGAACGAACAGGCTCGGGGACCGAGGTTAGCAGCCGAAGGCAAAGAATCTGGAAACTTTGAGGATCGAACGCTTAATATTACGTGCTTGAGGCAACAGGCTTAGGGCCTAGGTAGGATACAGAAACAACTGTGCATGGAACGGTACAAATCTAGCGAAATTAACTTCGACTACGACTACTCTTGTGTTTCGACTTTCTCTTAACTCAAAGCTCATCGGATTTCGGGGCTTAGGGTCAAGCGTTCAACTTTACGCCTCTAATGCTTTGGGTTCAAGATAAGGCTGAGACATATAGCAGTGTTCTACACAGCAGTGGGTCTTGCTGGATCGAGATTTTTGACTGCTTTGCAGATGGAAGAGAAATGGTGGCTCGGAAACCCTGAACCCTAGATCCGTCTTACAGATGGGCATGTCCATCATGCATCGGTCCTAAAAACAGTGTTCGTTCACGAAACAATCATGTGAACTTTCTATGATTAAAGTTCCTAAGCCCTCAATCTTCCAAAACCACTGGCATTTCAAAATCAGTACATACCAAACACAACCTCACTTCCATGAAAATGCGAGCATGTTAGAAATACTGCGTCCGTGCCTCGACCTGCTAAAATGCGTGCACCGTACTGTGAAGAGTGAAGACACCAAGGGCAAATCGTCTTTACGTTGTGTAGGGACCTGAATGCTTTGAATGGGGTTGAGGGCACATGATAATATGACTGCCAAGACCGTACAGGAATAGTACCCCCCCCCCCATTATTCAGACTTCTACATTCCACCAAAAAGACCAGGAGGAAGAAGCAAGCACAAATCAAAAATCTGATTCAGAAGGGATCCTTGCAAGCCTGAGGACTAGATTCTGAAACCTGAATGGGTGTGTACGTACACATATGTATCTAGTATTAGTAATCCTTGTTGGCCCCAGCGCGGATTTAAAGATGACATAGCCCAACGCTATCCCATGCCAAAAATCTACAAACTCCTCGACTCTACGTTGCCTCGGCAAGCCCTACGCCCCCTTGCCTCGGCAAGCCCTACGCCCCCAACAAGACCCCCGACAGTCCCTCATAGAGTAGATATGTCATGCATGGAAAGGTGAAAATCTGTCATGGGTCCCCCAGCTATTGAAATCCATGTGCTGGAGAAGGCACACCCTGGGGTATACTCCACTTAAAGCCGGCATGAATAACTCCAAATCCGCTGAACCTTCAAACCCTACGCTGCGACCTCCATCGCCAAGTCTTCCACGGGGCAGTCTACAAAGGCCTCTCACATGACGCGAAGTTCACGGTGGTTCGTGGTTTTTCTGGTTTGCCTCAATGGCTTTGGCCTGCTAGGATGGAGGCAATCTAGAACTCTAGGATTCAGGCCATAGCCTCTTCGATTCGGCGCTACACACGGCTTATGCTCTGGAGTTTGAGGCCTCGTGCGCATGCTAGATTTCATCTACTCATGACACACGGAAAACAGGAAGCTCCAGAATCTTAGGACTGCAAACAATGTCCGTTCTTACCACAGGAAGTAATTCAAGCCCATCATCAAGGGCCCTCGGAACCATGACAGGATCCAAAATTGAAAGCCTTCCACAGCACCAAGGACATCCTGTCAGAAACCACGCAGGCTCTTGTCGAGAAAGGGCTAAGGTGTAGGGCCTACACAAAGCTCCGAAGAAGCTCCAGGAACCTTTCGTGAAACGACCTCAAACACTGCAGCGAACTCCTATATCTGAATGCAGCAGAGTATCAAACTCTCATCCAAAACGCGTACAAAATGCCAATACGGCAACTAGGTTCCAAATATGACAGCGATTGTTTTAGCCGCCTGGATGCTTTCCATTCAGGCACCTAGGACCCTCAACAGCTCACTTTGTTCAGCCCAGAGACAAATTCGAGAAACCGAACCACGAAGCAGAACACATGCTTGAACCTCTGAAGCCCAAACTGTCACCTTGCCTGCCTACACCCTGAAGCCTATACACCCGAAGCCTGCATCCATAAACCCTAAGCTCGACATGCCTGCCAAACCTTAAATACCGCTTACACCTTAACCGAGCCCAAAGAAATGACACCCCTATTCCCCATCCACCTCACCCGGCGCAGGCGCGCCGCAGAAGTGGGCTCCATCGAAGCCCTGGCACCCACCATGTTGTTGCGTGTTTGGGGTTGATGGTTCGGAGTGTACGTTTTGGGGTCTGTCAGGGCTTGCACGCCAGGGTTGAGAGATGTAGCGATATATGGGGTTGGGGTTCAAGGTGCTGTGGATGGAATATATATATCGCCCATCCTGGGTCCCGCAACCACTGTAGTTCCGGATCTTGGGTATTAAAGGTGGCACATTGCTGATTATAGTACCCAGAGACGTTGACACTGTCCAAATAGCGCGTGGAACCTGAATACCCTTTTTTGAATACTTGGAGTAGCTTCAAGGAGGAGCAAGTGCTACTCAGGGGCAAGAAGAACGCCCGTGGAGCTAGCCGCAGACTTGGACTTTGCAAAATGGTGCTTCGCCCTGAACTGAGGATGTTTTCTGTCGGGTCTACATGAACTTCAGAAATTTCACATAAGATGAGCTGTATCTGAGCAACATGAACATTAATTGCGAGGCATAGGCGGGTGTTTTACCTTGCTCGAGGAACCGACATACACGAACCCTTGCACTTGTGTTTACTGAATGCATTCACCTGGCCTATACCATCCTTGTGCTAGATCAGTAATGGCACCCCCGTTGAAAGAACAGTAATGGACAAAAACTGGTCGGTAGAAGAAGGGATAATAGTGATCCTACATTGAATATAGATTTGAGGCTTTAGGCTCTTATCTCAGATTATACCGAAAACCTAATTTTTCTCACTTTAGGAATTCCTCGATTTCTTTAATTCTAGTTCTTTTTTACCACGAAACTGGCTAAGTCCTTCAAGTATTTTTCGATCCACAACCTGCCAAGAAAGATACGGCTAGAATCTGAAGGGTTTAATCGATCAAACGCTCGGTTTATACCCTGCATTCGGCCTGCGAGAGATATGGCTACCATAATACTCAAATACGGCTACCATAACAATCCAATACATACTTCAACCGATGAGTGGGGCGGGGGACGTTTGTTGTATGAATATTGCAGCCCATGTACGCCCCTGCAATCATCGGGGTTGAAATGCGGGAGAGAGTGTCCTTTTCAGCACTCCCTTGGTCCTGAGGGAAGAGGTATTGATTTGAATGGGATGATTTTGCTTCCGTTGCTTCCACTACGACCTTAAAGAGGAAACACTGGCATTAACGAAGGGTTCGAAACAGATGCCTGAAAGACCCTAGGCGTGGCCCAGAACTCATCATGGACAGTCTTCCTTATACAGTCAGTTGCACAGTACTTCTGTCCAGAAGCGGTGCGTCTTACGAGGCAACACGCATTTTTCTTGGCAATCGCAGGACTCGACAGCACGCTTCCGGGAGCTTGCGGCGGAGTCCGGGATCTTCAGATGGTTTAGGTTCCGACAGCCATAGAAAGCTCCGGCTTCAATGCTGGTCACGGACTCCGGGACATGTACCTCAGATTCGGGCATATAATGGAGAGTGCACCAGGAGCACATGGCAGTTACATGATGTGCACCCGCAGTTGAAACGTGCCATGCAATTGCTTTCATTGTCTTGCGGCTATCCTTCAAGTAAGGGTGCTGGCTCCTGTGCTGCCTGTTTTCACCCCTGAACGAATTAAACGCCAACAGGGCAAATTGCAGCAATGCCTCAAGCACGAAGACACCCTGAGAGGCCTTCACTTCCGTTCCTGTGAATGTTAGGGGAAATATTTGCTCTGGGGTTTAAGGCGAAACATCGTTAACGCATTCCCAAGTCTAGCAGATGCATAAATATCCCGTAGCAGCAAACTGAAAGGAAGGTTGCTGTGTGATGTCCGATCGCTCTAAATGAATGTCCCCATGCACCGCAAAGTTCAGATCATCTCAACTGTCAGAATCCGCAGCTTTGAGAACCCACACCAGCGCAGGGGGCCTCTGGGATCCCAAACTCCAAAAAGAGCTGAGCAGTTAGACTTCCTGACTGTAGCCCAGTCAAGCTCCCTGCTTGCTCCTCTATTGCAAGATACGGGAAGCGGAAGTAACTTGAGGGTCAGCATAGTGCTCAATGTATGCATTTTAGGGACCAATGCTAGTGAAAACTACATGCTTCTGGAGATACAGCTAACAAACCACCATGAGCCAATAGGCAACATGCAGTCTTCAGGAGTTATTTGATATTCCTGCTGTGGAGAAGTTTCTGACAGTCATCCGAGTTGTCCCCGCACAGGCATAAGACCCGAAAAGTGGCCATACAAAGACGATCGTCCTCCTGTAATGGGCTCAGGCTCTTGCGGAGGTCCACCTCATAGCCTAAAGTTGTAAACCCTCAGCCCTGGATCAAGACCTATCATATATCCTAAGCCTAAAGTTAGACCCAAAAGTCCAGATGGAGGGGACAGCCCAGTCACGTGCTTCAACGATCTGCAGCACTCGAAAGCACGCTTCCCGATGCTAACCACCTTCTGACTCCCAGAACGAGAGAAAGTGAGGGTCCACAGCTTACTGCTCAGGATTTAATGTTTAGAGTTTAGGCTTTAGAGTTTAGGGTTTAGAGTTTAGGGTTTAGGCCTTTGAGTTCACGGTTTAAGCGTTGGAGTTTAGGGCTTCGGGTTTTGAAGTTTAGGTAAAGGTTCAAGTTGCTTAGGCCATTGCCGAAAACAGGTTCCAGCTTCTTTAATGGGCTGCAGGCTTCTTGAAACCCTGAGGTTCGAATACACCTCACTGACTTAAGGACCCTAAACTAAGCAGGTGCTGGAAATCGGCTTCACATATACGCCCTCACACCATGGAGCCTTTCATGAAGGAAGCTCGTACAAGTAGGGAACATAAAGCCGGCATACCCCTAATCAAACCTCCCACAAGTGTGAGGTTCTCTGCTGGCCGGACGAGTCGCCGAGTCTGGAATTTTGGCCGTCTGCAGCCTAGACTGCAGAAAAACCCTGAGACAAACATGTAGGAAGTAAAACTAAAGTGTGGCAACACCAAAGGTGATCCTCACGAACCCTCTATACGCTCGCCAACCCATGCTACTCAGCAATAGATTCGAGTCCAGACCGCCAGAAAGTAAGACGGCATACCACAGCACAGCCGGGAAGCTCGTAGCAACAGGCGAAGGTCTCTGCGTCAATGCGGACCACCCTGGGGGGTATCTCCACATGTTTCCTTGGTCTTCCGGGCCATTGATCCTTTGAACTGCTACATGCCAAAGGATGTTTCCAGCTTCCTTATTCCGCACACCCTGTAAGTATTTTCGGGTCCACCTGATCTGCCGCAAAACTCGATAAGCCTAATCATCTAGACACCCCACTCGCTACTTGGAAACGACCATATAACGGCTCCAAATATTTCTCGAGACCGCAATTGCAAGTCAAAGGTAGCATCGCATGGGGGCCCCTGATGGGTGAACCCGTGTTCTGTCAGGACTCATCATTCGGATCCACATGGAGGCTTGGTATCTATTGGGGTAGCATGGGAAACGACGGCTGCTTTGAAACTAGCCGCGAATACACCTGACTTGGAGACCGTGTTGTAGAGGGAATGAGATACCAAAATCAAAGTACTAGGCCAAAAGACTGAGCCTCAAACCCTAAACCCCAAATCCAGACTCTCTAAAGCCAAAACCATGAACCAAAGACACGGGATGCTACTCTACATACCAAATAAACATGATCCAGTTTCAGCTCCGGGCAATGGCTGAAAGCGCGAAGCCCAATGTGAGTCCTAGGTCACTCGTGGGGTTGTGATAACCGGATGTAGCTGAGTATCTAGCATTAAAGGCTTTGGGGCTGAGGGCTAGGGTTTAGGATTTGCGGCTTTGAGTTTGAGGTCTAGTCGAGAACTCAGGCTGTAGGGCGCAGGGTTCCGGGCTTAGATTTACAGATGCCGATACAGAAATTCAGGATTACAGGTGAGCTTCTGCGAGACCTTCCAGGTCAAGATGCTCACTACAGATTTGTGCCATGGCAAATTGTTGCCAGCATCTTGATGCAATGCCTTTTGCTAGTTCACCCAGAAACACTCTATACTGACTCGACTCACTTTCTGGTTCTTCGAGAGCTGATCTTCATCTGGAACGCTAGGCACTTTTCAAGAATAGGACTCCCAATAAAAGTCGAATGCATGTCTGAAAGCGACGCAGAGTCAAGGAGTTGGGTAACTTGATGCTCTGGAGGCAAATGCAGCAGCAAAAGGCACCTTCGCCGAGCGATGTCACCGACTCTGGGAGCTCTACGTGTCTCCTGGCGTGACTCCGCTACAACAGAGGCAAAACAATTAGGAAGCTTGACTTAGATACCTGTATAAGCAGCCAGTAACCACAAGACTGAGCTCACAAAGAAGCACCGAAGAAGAGCCGAGTTTCAACTTCGCACAGTAGCTGAAGGCATGATATCCCAGGCTTGTCACAGAATCGGGGATCTTGACACTCTCCAAGCCCACGCAAACGGAGAAAGTTGCGTCGTGAATCGTGGTCACCAAATCCGGAATCTCAACATGTTTCAGGACACTGCAGTAGCTGAAGGCAAAGCCCTCAAGGGTAGTCACCTGAGTTGGAAACCGCTTCAGCTTTGGGGTTTGTATATATATATATAGATCTACGCACACATTTGAAGGGTTATGATGACAAAGGGGCTCTTCCACTCTTAGCCCATACCCATGTTTCCCAGGCCTCAGCAGTCGAAATACTTGAATAAAACCTTATAGCCCTATAACTTACATTAAAGCCCATAGTACTCAAAAGGGAGGGGAAAAATATCTGTCAAGTTGCGGATTTGGGAATCCGGAGGCTGGCCAGCTTGAAGCAACCTTTCATGGGGCTTTGGGGGGCTTAGGATGTAAGGCTGATGGTACTGGGCTTGGGGCTAGGTTTCAGCTAGAGGTTTAGGATTAAGAGCTTTGGATTTCGGACTTAAGGATTAAAAGCTCTGCATTGGTCGGTCTTGGGGAGGGGTAAGATTTAGGGAGCGGCATTTAGAACTTACAAATGGTTCAGACCGTTGGAAGCTTGAGGGTCAAGGGTTCAGGGTTTACGGCTTCCGCCACTTAGTACAAATTTAGCTTGGGATTCGAAGTAGAACTACATCAAGCAAGCATTGACTGGGCTGAGTCCAGTAGTACTTGTATTGATGACTTGCCCCTCACCCTCCAGGTTAGGTTTCCTTGGGATGAGGGGAATGTCTCGGCAAATGTCTGAAACCCTGAACATCCTCCAAAACCCCCAGTGCGAACCGTAACCTAAATCTCCTAAACCCTGAACCAGCAGCCAGAGCAGCCTTGAAAGGATGCCTCCCCCACCATCACCAAGGACTTGGGCAGCTCCAAATGCTTCAGGCCCTACGGGGATTGTAAGCTGTAGGGATTCTAAGATATTGGCTTCGCGTTAGAGTAAGGAAAGAGTTGGAGTTCAAAGGGGTGAGGGCGCGGGGTGTAGGGCTGCGGGCTTCTAGTCTCAAAGTTTGAGAGGTCGGGGTAGTGGCTTAAGCTGCTGACCCCTGTATCTGCTACCGTACATTCACAGAACATGTTGGTGTGTTTAGACCACCAGCTAAGGCAACTCAAAACTCTAAACTTTGAGAATCACACTTTAAACCCCAAGCCCTGAAACCTACACCCTGTCCCTAAACATGTGTGTTGATGTACGTATAGTTCGTCCAAGGCTCAGAGCATCAATACCTCCCAAGGACATCTTACCGTCCAGAGTAGCTCCCTACGGTCCTTCATACTTGCTATTTCCTAATCCTGAACCCCTCAGTCCCCTCAAGCTCGGTCCTTGCAGTAAGCAAAGGCGAGCTCCCCTATGTTGGTCACACAGTCCGGGATCCTAGTTGCGGTGATTTGGGGCTCTAAAGTTAGGGTTCATGATTTTGGGAAGGTGAAAGTCCAGCTTAAGGTGTCGGCGCGTCAGGGTCAAGTTAAGCATTCATGGCTGAATAAGAAGCGTCGGGTGCTAGTTCCAAAGCTAAGAGCTAAGGGTGGGGCCAGGGTTGCAAGTTAGCGGAAGGTGCCGGACTAAAAAGATGCCTGAATGACAAGAATTGGGTACATCATACTGTACGTGCAGAAGGAAGACGAGAGAATTGTACCAATTATTAATTTGGGATCTTGGTCTAGGGCTCATGGGAACAATTACTTGGCACAGTTGCGGGAGACTTTGCTTCACGGGCTGCCAGTTCCACACAAGCATGGGCATGCGGCGCTTGACCAGCAAGCAGTTAGTCTGCTGAAAAACGCGCCTGCTCAGAGGAATAATGCAAAGGTATCAGCATTTCTCTCCAAAGTGAGTTTAAGGGAGACATCGTACACCCAACCATTGCAGCAGAGCACAGGGCCCTGCCAATGGGTGTTTTTGCTATCTGGGCCCGCATTTGTTTGCCGCATGTTGGGCAAAGTCATTTCCGCAAACTGCGATGCATCGATAACGAGGGTAGTAGAGGGCATCCTGCACCATGTGCAAATCAAAACGTTTCGTCTTAATTTGAGGACGGGGGATAAGCGTTCAATGCTCTGGGGATGGGACGTTGTGCTTAGTGTAGACCTTGTGAAAGCATCTGCTGATGCTCAAGATGAATCGTCAGGCTGCAAAGTGAAGGCAACCCAGCGGCTGCTGATGATGACCTAGTTTGTAGATCACCCTGAAGACGCTGAGTCTTGCGAACTCTTCCTGCTTAACGCATGGCGCCCCTGCCTGTTAGTCATGGAATACGCATGCTGCTTGCGACTGTCAGCTTGTGAGTCAACATCGTTGCAGATGAGACAAGACAGGATCTGAATACATAAATTGCACCCAAACTGCGCGTGAAGCCTGAGAAACATAGTCTAGGATGTAGCTTCTTTTGACGGAAAGCTGGCAAATCATACAAGCGCATACTGGGGGGAGCAGGTACAATTAGGATTCGGAGTTTCATTTGGGGCCAAAATCATCCACGAAGAGCGCGACAAACATTCTTTATAGGACCACTGCCTTGGAAAAAAAAGGGGCGCTAAACCGGCTTACCTTTGAATCAGAGAAGGTGGGTGGAAGGCGCAGCCAGTAATCATACTGACTACTCATGACACTGCTATGACAACAAATAATTGAAAGCATCTGAATGGTAAATGGTGACAACAAGATTTTTCACTTTGCGAGCAGGAGTCCCGTAGGCGCACGTCACAACAAGACGCAGGCTCGAAGGATTTCTCTGATCAGGAATCCGGCTGAAGATTGTCAAGTTACTCACATATCCAAGAACACCCTAGGCCCTGAATCCCTGAGCCCTGAACCATAAACCCGAAACCAAGTGCGGCATTCGGGCTGAAGTAATTGAACCCAGGGATCTTCATTCCTTATCCCTTTTGGCCTTGTGGTGTGGGGTTTTGAGTGAGATAGGTTTTCGGGAGTTTGGGGTTGGAGGTGTGGGGTGGGGGCCTCAAAGCATCCGTGCAGTCATGGAGCATTGCTATTCCGACTGCTAGTGGACTTAGACCCTTAACCACGACGCGCAACTCTAAACACCCCGTGCGAAATCCTCATGGAACACTCAAACTCCTGAATCTGCTAACCCTACCCGACAGAAACCCTGGTCTCTGGACCCTAGTACCTCTCTGAATCCTAGTACCTGCTGGGGTAACTGTAAACCGACACCCATTGCAGCAACGGGTCTTGATGCTTTCAAGACCTGTGCAGTATGCGAAAGCTCGCTCCTGCGTCATCACTGGGGTCCAACCGAAGCCATGGTTGCACAGGACTATACATATGGCACATTCTGGTGCAAAGGGAGATGTGGGATGATAATACGGGCACGCAGCACACAAGCTGTGTGAAGCACTAGCCTGTAGGAATAAGAATTTCGGGCTTAGCTTAGTATTTAGTATAAAAAGGTGAGGATCCAAGGCCTGAAGTTTAGAATTTGGACGCTCGACTCGTTGTAGTCTGGAATTCAGGCTCAACAAGTTATCAGGACCTGGGGTCTAGACTTTAGCACTGAATTTTGGGGCTCAATTATTATTCCGAAATAGTTTCCATCTTGTTTTCCATTATTCCTATATAAACCCCTATTTCCCCCCAACCCTAGAAGAGATCAGAAGGGCTCCGGAATGCTGGCCACAGATGCTGGGATCTCCACGTGCTTCCTGGCGGGTAAGCAAGGAGCTCTCACTGGATGCTTTGTGAAGAATGAAGGAAGGGACAAGAAAATGCAAACTACTAGTTTATTTTGGGTTTGGAATTTCGGAGGAGTTGAAGGAACGGAAAAGAAAATGGCGACTGCGATACAATATGGAATTACATAAGGGCTACTCTAGGGATCCACTCCTCCATTCCCTGCTGACCACCAGCAAGCCACGTCTACGGAACTCCTTTACACATGCAATGTGGTGCAGCATGAAGCTCCAGGTCTGCTGGGTTGGGGCTTGTAGTTAAGGCGTTTCATGTGATTGTGCGGGCCAAGACTCCTGTACGACATGCCCAGGCTTTACAAAGAACATCAAACAGCGAAGCCTTCTGGATTTTGCGTCAAATGTTTGCACATATGGTTCATGCACGGGATCTGCAGAGATTATGCATGGACACATTTACATATATGCACAGGCTGTCCGGTTCTAGAAATTGTTGGTCCTTTCTTGGGAGGAGAAAGTCCAGTATCTAACAACCCTCCAGCACAGCAAGTCCGGCGTTGTGCTGGGATGTCCTAGCTGATAGCCCTGAGCCCTATAAACGCCTAAACTACAAAACTACAAAAAACCCAAACCAGTAGGATCCTAAAACCCCACTGACTATAAACCCCTGAACACTAAGCCATTCTCCCGCCGGACTTCAGCTGGTCTAGACCTCTGCTTACATATGAATAACCCGAGGCTTACTTGTAACAGCGTGTTACCTTTAACCTACTTATATATAGTGACCGTAGTCATATCCTACATTGGAGGACAGTTGCCCCACAACATATGTCATAAGCTGCAGGCCCCTCCAATCGTGTCATCAGAAAAACTTTCAAAAAGATGCACGGATTTGCGGGTTGCGGGAACTTCTTGGGTTGTCGAAGAAACGCTACTTCTTGCCTAAGTGCTCATCTCAGCAGCCGGGAATTGGTCTGGGCGATATACGCGATGAAAGGCACATGCTGCATTCCAGGAAGGAGAAGCAGTCTTACGTAAGGTCACATAAGGGCAAATCCTGAAACGCTGGTACCAGGTCATTACCTCGAAGTCCGAGATAGTAAGCCCTAAGCTTTAACCCTAAGCCACGAAACATCGCAGCCCAAGCCCTGAACCTTGACCAAAGCCGAGGTTCAGAGCGCTGCAGTTCATGAATGCGCAGCTCTTGATCATGGCCACAGAGTCGGGAAGCTTGAGTCTCTTCAGAGCGATGCAATCAGAAAAGGCCGACTCGCCAATCCTGAAGTTCTATGATTGATTTGGCCTAATGGCTTAGAACCCAGCATTTGAGATTAAGCCAACCACTGCAACCAAAAAGAAACCCAAGAAGACTGTGGTAGTGACCTCCGTCCTTTTGTGCGGTATGTGGAGTTGTCTAGTTTGGGAGAAGGTCGGCAGGACTTCTTCGAACTTAATGGTACAAAGGAAGAGCCGGGGAGGGAATACCTACGTATCACTATGCCTATGCAATCTTCAAAGATCATAAGGCCCCTTCAGGCCCGTAGGCCTCCAGCAACTACTAGCTTAGCCAGCGAACGCTCTAGCAATATTGTAATCCGACAAAGTAACACAAGCAAAATCGGTAATTTTAGCCCACCCTCGAACAAACGCACAAACACTGCCACCATCGGCCAAGCACCAGCACCACAAGCACCCCTGAACCCTAAATATGCTTGGTGTTGATTCCTGCACGTGCGGAAACCCCAAAGTCCCTTTCCTTCCCTTCAAATCAATTCTGATCACCACAAGAAACGTGATCACCGTGTCAGGGATGTCAACTTCCTTCAAAGCCGTGCAGGACGCGAAAGCATGGGGTTCCAGCTTCACCGTGCCATCCTCGGTGATAAGACATGTATGAGTACATAGCAAGGATGGGAAAAAACCTTGCAACACCTACATTTAGAAACTACCAGGACCGGGTGGAGCACAGGGCCTAAACCCTAAAAACCCTGAACCTGAACAGCAAATCCTATATCCTAAACCACAAGCCTAGCAACAGGAACTTTCGCGAAGATCAGACTCCCAGATTCACGTTCGGGACGGCACGTGGTTTGGACCACGTACTTGACCTGGGCTTTGACCCCTCAAGGAAGAATGCGACTCGTGGTTAGTAGGGAACAAGGGAATATAATCCCTGTATAATATAATCCCTTATTCCCTGCCGGCTTTCAGGAAGAATGTGTTCGGGCGCGTTTGGTCTGCAACTCAGGGCTTGAAGCTTTGATGTGGAGCTTTGGGATCTGTGAAGATGTCCAGGGCTTGGGAGTTTGTGACTGAGCGCCTTGAGGGCTTTGAGGCCATTGGAGTTTCGGGCCTCGGCTTTAGGACTTTGAAGCTCAGAGTCTAGGGCTCAGCACCTCGGGCTAGGCTAGCTAGAACATGATCTGTTGACCCTAAGTGTTAAAAACCGCCCCACACCACAATCTACTTGCGGTCAACTCTGAACAGGAAGCCGCGCATAGCTTTTGCATAGTCATCCGCTCAACCGACAGCAGTGTCCGGAGCGTACCTTTTGAAGCTAACGTAGGGTTCAGGACAGTTGGACTTCAGGGCTTCGGGCTGTGGATGTTCTGAAGATGGTTTGTTTACTCCGCACCGATGCTGAAACCCATGGCTCCCCGAGCCCGGAATCCCAAGAGTCAGTCGAGCGACATAAACCAGACTCAGCACTTGTGGCTTTTGAAGTTTCGTGTCCTCACTACATAGGGCAGGTATAGGTATGGGCTTCAGGGTTTAGCCGCATCTGGATTCAGGGGTCCCTCAACCCCATGGCTTGAGCGACTCCACAATGTGAGAAGAGATATGACTTGCACGAGGGTCCTCTGAGAGAACACCCCAGCTTAAAGGTCACCAAAATCCTGATGAACCCCTTTCACGCTCACCAAAACAGCAATAAATCACGATGTCAATTAGGTGCCACTGCAGCGTGTGGCAGACATCTTGGACCGCCCTACGCTGGAACTGCAGTATCTTGAGTATGTATCACGGTTGGTGCGTGAGTTCCTCATTCCACAACTAGATGGACCACCAGAAGCATGAGGGTATTAACAGCTGTTTTTCAGCACCACTTCCAGTCACTACTTAGATAATTGAGGCGACCTACTGATTACACTAGGGACCAGAAACATCTTACGTATGGCAACATGTACCTCATCCAGACCTCAAAACAATCTTAGCAGTAGTCCGGATCGTTTACCCAGACTGCGCTACCTAATGTCTGCTTCAGCTAATGCAAAAACATGTGCTCAATATTGCTAACACTGACTCTGTCACAAAATGCGAGAACTGCCCATGCCAAAGTCACGTCACAGAAGTTCTCTTACAGCTGCTAGTAACTAGCAAAATTAGGCCGTAGAACTCAGAAAGATCCCCAGCCCTCAACCACAAAAAATGTCATAGACACGGAGCCCTCAACCGTGATGCATTCCATTCCCCTACCACACCCCGATACAACACCAGTTCTCTAGTTAGCCCTACATAACCTAACATAGTTGGTGATGAATGTGTCCGGCTCGAGCACGTCCCCTGTTTCCGCGGCCCAACGCGCGCCTCAGTTACTTAGGGCGTAGCGGTGTACTTAATGAGATGGTTATCATAAGTATGTACGTACATACTAGAAACTGATATACCTATGTATATGTATCATTCAGACCATTTGCGGAATTATTATAGAGCCTCACTCCCCCCGAAGCCTTCAGCATTAGTTCAGAGCCATGAATGGTTTTCTCTGAGCCCTGAGGTCTAGCTGAATTGAAGTTCAAGGCTTTCAAGGCTTGAAATATCATGGCTTGCGGGATAGGGATGACTGGGGAGCTTTGGCGTGTTAAGGGCAAACTCTTCAGGGCATGAAACGTTTGAGGACAAGAAGGATCTGGGGGGAGAGGTGGGATTGTTGCTTCATTGTTCAGGGTACGGATTTTGGAGTTCAGGCCAAGAAGAAATCTTCTCATAGGCTTTGGACAATCGGAAGCCCGCGACCATATCCAAACCGTCTGGGGCTTGAACTCCTGACTGCCGGTTCTTCGTTGAGTGTCGTCAGAGCGTGGTCTTCATGGCTTAGTGTCTAAAGGTTCCCGCTGAAGTTTCTTAAATCCTGTAGGGTTAGGCTCAAACCCAATTTGCGGATGCTCCACGACAGCCTGGTCACATATGGCTTCATTGGTCTGGGCTAATATGAGGTCTCTTGGCCAAAGAGGCTTTCTCCGTCGCTGTGACAGATCACGCTATTGAGGCTTTAGTGGATGTGCCATTAAAAATGGCCGCTTTTTGTTGGATGTTGAATGTCAATTTCATAAACATATCAACTGCTTGTTAGCAATACTACCGGGAGGTGCAAGGAGGAAGAGTGGAAGCAACTGAGGAGATTTGCAGGTGGGGGGGTTCCGGTAGGTATAAGGAGAACGTAGGATAGATTACATTGAAAAGATACGCAAGTCTTGGGGAAACTACCCACGTGACCATGCTTCCGACCCGAAAAAGAACAAAGGCATCTTCTCGTGAGGGTTGAAAGGTCTTGTATGTTCCTTGTTAGCCGATCCTATTGCAAATTCGAACAAAAAAGCATGTTCGAAGTTGGCTGCTTGGGGCTACGGGACTTTGGTCTTGAGATGCCAGTGTCTTGGGAGGCTCCCCTGTAAGATTATCAATCCCAAGAATTTGAGAACAAATCTTTTTACGACGGTAGTTTCTAAGCCCGCATACTCACAGCGAAAATTCCCGTGCTGCTCTTTGATGCCTTAGTTTCCTGTACGTACCTGAAATCAATATCACAGTCCATGCCATTCCTATTCAAAGCCCGCAGCAATACTGTCCAAGCAGCCGTAACCCGCTGGCAATTTCGGAGCTTCGCGGTTCGAAATCTCCGCAATCCTGAGCAATTGTGGTTTAGGGTTCTCGGGTTCAGGGTCTTAAGTGTGGGGCTTTGTGCGCAGGGTTCGGGATCATGGAACGCACTTTGGCAAATTGTCGACTTCGGAAGTTTCCGGGGAGGCGAGAAACAGGGGTCCCCCCTGCGCGCGCTTACGGTTTAGGGTTTAAAGCTTAAGCTTTTGGATTGGAAGCGTGACGAAACTTCCCCCACATAACCCTACAAAAGGACCATTGTCATCCTCAAATATCCCTCGGGGGCGTCAAGGGTACGTTCTTGTGAGAAACATTGGAGATGGACCCTTCAAAGAATTTCCTGAGCTGGCATAATGGAACATGTCCAACTTCTTGTTGCACAAGTGATCTGCACCAGGCCGTTGCTAGCTAGTGGCGACACTGTCCAAATGGCGTGCAGAACACCTTGAAGCCTGCGGGAAGACGACCATCAGACGAAAGCAACAAAATCTTTTCTATCCCAGCCAACTTTGACGCATCTTCTTCCGCCCGCACACGGCACAAACCCCAAACCTCAAGTCCTGAATGCTAAACTAGTTCTCAATCCTGTTGTGCCAGGCGGGCCTGGCTTCAGCAAAGTTCGGGATTCAGGTGCCTTGCTACGCAACAATCTTCAGAAAATTTCAGAAACGAGTGGATTTGGGCACTTCTCAAATGCGGGCTGCTTCGGCCTCTCTTAAGGATTGTGGAGGGGTCGCACTTCACCATGCTTCTCTACCTACTTGCCGGATGCCTACAGTCTGTGTACAAAAAAAACCGCATCTATACAAGCCAGGGAAGAAGCCAGAGAAAGAAAAACCCTGGCTGCGGTGAGATGAGATGCAAGAGCGTCTATCATACAGTGCCTGAAGCCCTCTTCCCAACCTGCCCGGAACATTTTGCAAAAGTCCAGGATTTGCAGAAATCGAACCCTGCAGCTTGCAGTGCACTAATCACACACTTTCCCCAAAGGCTCTTCTACCAAGTAACAGTATTGCAAATATCCATCGCAACCAGCTGTTGGTTACCTATAAGGAACTTCCCAAACTGAGCAAGCATCGTCGTGCCAGGTTCGATGTCGATCTCTCTGGACGCGCCGCCACGACCTCTGATGATGACCTTAACGTTGCAAGAGCATGTGAGGTATAGGGGTTTAGGGTTTATGGTATAGGGTTTAGGGTATAGGGTTAAGGGTATAGGGTTAAGGGTATAGGGTTAAGGGTTTAGGGCTTAAGGGTTCCGGGTTTGGGGCTGAAGGGCTTAGAGTTGACGGTTTTGGGCTTAAGGGTTTGGATTTTGGTTCCGTGTTTAGG